GACATAGATACTTTATTATGATATAGTATTTAAATATATGCCTGAGAAACACATAAAATTGGCCCTTTAAGTCAATAAAACCCACAGTGTTGCTCTGCTGGAAGACCAGCATTTTAAAAAAGTTTTTGAGTGTTTCTGGAGGATCAAAGCTAAAAACGCAATTTTAAGTCACTTAAACAATGGTGGGATATTGGGAAGATTAAGATTCGGCAATTTTGCCAGCTGTACTCTCAAGATGTTACAAAGAACTTGTCCAAGTCAGTTAATCTCCTGGAAGCAGATGTCAAGACTTTACAAGATCTGCTGGAGGCCACAGGTGACCAGCGTAATGTGGAATTAATAAAGATTAGAAATCTRCTGTATTTAATTTGCTTGGAGTTGCAGCTCAGGGGGCTCTGATTAGGTCCCGCTAAGTCGCTATGATGGACACTCTGTCCTCTTTTTTTTTTGGACTTGAGAAAAAAAAATGGACAAAGGAAGTTTATGCATGCTCTAGTATCTGATACAGATACTGAGTAGCACCATATGTAATCATGCTGTAAACCTCTTTAAAAAGCTTCATGAAAAACAGAATCAGGAGAATCAATCTGTGGCTCAAGCCTTTTATAAGGACCTWCCTCAGGTCATGGAGGAGACAAATGAAGACCTGGCTACATACCTGTCTCTCAATGAGCTCTATAGTGCTTTACAAAGCATGCAGAATGGGAAAGCCGGGGGTATTGATGGTTTGCCAGTTGATTTTTACAAATCGCTCTGGCCAATAWGTGGACAGGACATTTTGGCAGTGCTTAGAAAAAGTCTTGTGGAAAAATGTTTGCAACTGAGCTGCAGGAGGACAGTCCTCACCCTGCTCCCCAAAAAAGGTGACTTGTTACAAATAAAAACTGGAGGCCAGTGTCGCTGTTGTGCTCTGATTATAAAATTTTATCAGACGCTTTAGCCAATAGGCTGAGAGGAGCAATGGAGCAAGTAGTACACTCAAATCAAACATATTGTGTGCCTGGCAGGTTGATATCTGATAACATTACATTATTGAGAAATGTTTTAGAAATTTCCAAGTTAAGTGGCATTGATATGGGAGTTTTGTCTCTTGACCAAGAAAAAGCATTTGATAGGGTTGAACATGATTTTTTTTATGGAATAATATGCATGCTTTTGGTTTTACTCCTGCTTTTATTGATCATCTCAAAGTTTATTAGGGAAACATTCAGAGTGTGTTAAAAGTCAATGGTGGCATGAGCGCTTCTTTTCATGAGGCATCAGACAGGGGTGTGCCCTTTCAGGCATGTTATACTCCCTGGCCATTGAGCCACTCTTACACAAACTTAGAGGTGACCTCAAAGGTCTGTATCTTCCCAGCTGTCCTTCAGCTCTGAAGTTGTCAGCCTATGCAGATGACCTGATTGTGTGTTTATTGATAGTCAACAAGATGTTAATTTGTTAGCAGCTGATRTTGCTCAGTTTTCCCTGATTTCTTCAGCAAAAGTTAACTGGGAGAAAAGTGAGGCCTTTACCATTGGAGGAAGGGTAGAGGGAAAAATCAAGATGCCAACAGGACTTAATTGGAAAACTGGTGGGATTAAATACTTGGGGATTTTTCTAGGTRACAATGTTTTACAAAAAAAACTAGGAGAACCTGCTTCAAAAAATCAAAGGTCGTTTGTCAAAGTGGGCATGGATCAAACCAAAAATGTCCTATAGGGGGAGAGTCCTCATCATAAATAACTTGATTTCATCCACGTTATGGCATCGCCTTGCAGTCRTCGATCCCACCTCCAACCTCCTATCAAAGATCCAGGCTCTCATGGTGGAGTTCTCATGGGATCAAATGCACTGGGTCCCTCAGAGCATCCTGTATCTGCCAAAGGACAGAGGAGGTTCAAGGCTTGATTCACTTGAGCAGCAGAGGGGCTACTTTCAGGCTCCTTTTTATTCAACGACTTCTATGTGCTCCTGCTGACCTGGCATGGAGACCTGTGGCCTGCTACATCCTGAGTCAGCTGTGTGGACTGGGGCTTGATAAATCACTGTTCCTAATGGACTTCAAACAGCTCAACATCAGTGGTCCGCCTGYTTTCTACAAGWGCCTGTTCAAGATCTGGGGGTTGCTGAGGACTGAGAGAGCAGAAGCCCCTCTGTCTCTTCACTGGCTGCTTCAMGAACCAGTGGTGTATRTACATGKTTCATATGGTWCATGTTTCAGAAACTGTCAGCTGGRACCTACACTCACTGAGAAGTTTTGCTCCTCAGGAGWGGTGACTCTGGAGCAGGTGGTGAAACATGCAGGTGCAAACTTGGACAATGCCATTGCCTTGGCTCAGCAGGTGGGGGTGTCCTCCAGTCGTGTGATGTTCAAGTTTCTCAGAGCAGCTTTGTCGGACTCGGAGACCACTCTGCTGCAGCAGTTTCTCATCGGTATTGTACAACCTGATGTTGAGGACTCTTTCCCCATCTTGAACATTTTCCCTGAYCTAAGGGTTTTTAGTGGCCGTTTCTTAAGCCGTGAGTCTATTGGCTCAGTTTGTGAAGCTGGCAGTAAACGTATGTACATGATGTTTGTTCAAGTGTTACACGGGGAGAAGTTAAACGGTAGAACTGATACTCCATGGAGGCCTCGCTTAGCTCTCAGTGATGACGTTGTGCCTGAGTGTAGAGCACTTTACAAGCCACCATTGGCTAAAAGAGTAGCAGATCTACAATGGAGAGTTTTACATGGAGCTGTAGCAACAAATGCTTTTATGTCTGAGATCAACCCAACAGTGAGTCCTGATTGTCCCTTTTGTTCTCAGAGAGAGACAGTTTTTCACCTCTTTTGGATTGATGTTGTTTGGATCCTGTCTTTTTGTTTTTAACAAATCTTTTTACAATGTTTCATGAGTCTTTCTCTAAGCAGGTGTTCATGCTTGGATATAGATATTCAAAGAAACACAAAGTAAAACGTCAACTTCTGAATGCTATTCTGGCAAGAGCAAAAATGTCCATCTACATTAGTCGGAAAAGAAGTTCTTGATGATGTTGATACTGTCTGTATTTTAAAAGGCATGCTTGTATAGAAATAGATTTTAGATATTTTTTAATGAGGAATAACCTGAGCAGTTTTTCCAACTTATGGTGTTATAAGGATGTGTTGTGTAAATTTTCAGATGATGTGTTAAGTAAAACAACTTACTAAAACATGAGTTTGCTCTCGTGGAGAAATCTTTTGCCTCGCAAACAGTCGTCTGGTCTTTGCTTGGCCCCAAACTAGAAACAGAAAATAATATAGAAAAAAATAAAGATTTATTCTCATTAATTCTTTTTTTCCTCAGTAAATAGATGAGTTACATTAATCCTGGTCAAATAAATTTTCTCTGATAACCTGTATRAATAACTCTACAGCTGCTGATTGGTTTCTCTGTCGGCTGCGGACATGAAAGTGCCTGCTGCAAATCAGGAGGAGAGCGGAAAAACTTCAAAACTTGTTTCTAGCAGTAGAACAGGTTGGAAGATGGCCATTTCATGTCATTTATTGTTTTTTTAAATCATCCTACAGGCTCTGACATGTTAGATACATTTRAAAATGAGGTTTTGAAAAAAATCCCGTAAGCCTTGAAAAAATCCATGAGATTGCTCTATACGTCCGTATACCTGCAAAATGATGTAAAATCCTTATAATTTACTGACAATCCATACAAATTGACATGTATGTGGTTGTTAGGCTCATCAAGATTACATACAAATGTGACCAAATGATTCTGAACTCTGTTGATGTCAAAGTTATGAAGTTCAGATGTTAGAATGTTCTGTCATTACTACAGAAACATCACCTGCCGAAGCCCTGCTTGTTTGCTAACCATTTCAAGACAGACAGTTTACCTTCTAATGTGAACAAAGACATGACGGCTGACCACTTCTTCTAGGCCCCTTCTGTCGGGGACCTCCCTCAAAGTGCATCAATAATTTTCCTATGTGTAGTCAAAACCAGTTTTAACTGGTTGACAAGAGTGGGTCAGTTGATCCAAGAACAGAATAAGGTGATGTCATCGACTCATGCTTACATCTAATGTGACAGAATAGCTTTTTTCTTTCAGAGTCTGAACAGCCTCAGAAAGAAACTGAAGGAGAATTCCTAAGTTCCTGGGGCCTCATGGACAAAGACTTGTGTGGATTTCTTACTGAAACCTGACGTACGGTCAAATCCAGAAAACGGCGTACGCACAAAAAAATCCAGATGTATCGAACTGTGCGTATGCTGGAATCCACGCACATTGCTTTTGTACATCACAATTAACGTGGCAGTGCGCTCAGATGAGCGCAGGTAAGACTCCTCTCCTGACACGCCTTCATTAACATATGTTAA